AACCTCTACCCCTAAATCATAGACAGCGGGGTAAACCAATGTTACCTCAATAAAGAAAACAAACAAAAAAACCTAAAAAAAAATATATATTAGCTCCACATAAGGGACTATGGTGATGGTGCACGGGGGAATTGGTGGTGGGAATATTACAGGCACTACACCTGAGAGGAGAAAGCATACATTGTACAAAGAGGAAGAACGATGTCAAATATATATAAAGTTAAATTAATTCTCTCCACACACATGCAAAGAAATTAAACCTTTTCCAATAAATATATGTAATTTGAAATTACAGATATTTTAAATTATTTCTATTTTCACTTAGGTGAAAACTTTAAAAGGAGACCTATGATTTCATTTAGTCACTCAGTATACTATAATGTCTTCCCAGTCTAATCTATGATACCAAAACTGTTCAGCCAGCAGAACAAAATAAATAAAATTCAATAGTAAGTACTCAGCAACAACCACTATATATATATTTATATATTAGCTCTATTTGGGGGAGGGACCGGGAGGTGAATGGAAATTCTCTCTTGGTAAACAAAAGTATTGGTCAAAGACTGAGACTGGCAGGCAAGATCCCAAAAGGGCCCATTAATGCCTATCGATAACTTGCCATAGAGGGTCTTGGGGGATCGTCAGGGGTGCCCTCATTCCCTAACAGCAGCTATTGAGCAGCAGAGATCACAACTCCCTGAGGTGGAAGCCTTAGTGCATCATGACCCATGACCATAAGCACCAAAGGGAGTTTTGGGGTTCACATACAAAGAACTCAAGTCCTAGATAAAAGCTGAAGAACACCAAATGCCCCTGTAAAATGGAATCAGACTCCACACATTGGGAAGTGCCTATTTAGTTTGTCTTATATTGAACTAAGAGAACTTCCTCCCACAGGTCTATATTCCACCATCTGGTGCAACCCTCCTTCCCATACAGTGCTCAACTGTTAGAAGACATTCTCATGTGTCATCTCTCTCTTAACTTCTCTATATATGTGGCCTTGGTTTCTTCAACAATCCTTCAAATCACATCGGCCACCACATGGTACAGGTTACCTGTTCCTGGGGCCCTTTCACTGCACTCCAGAACAGTATAAAATGCTGTGTTCAGAACCCAACACGTGACTCACACATGACTCAGATGGGTGCGGTCTAAGGAGTTTTGTACACAAAGGCAGTGTTACTCCCATTCATCTGCTCATTGCACTTTCCTGGACCCAGTCTATGACCACACTGGCTGTTTTGGCAGCTGTCACACTGTTGTACTTCTAGGCCAATGGCAACTCCAAAACTTTTATAGGCTCTACCCTCTTCTAAGCTAAAATGCTGATTAGGAATAGGACTACACATTTCGGGGGTGGAAGTGCAGGTCGGTATTTCCAAACGTGGCTGAGCAAACAAGCACCTGCTGTTCCTCCACTGCTACTCCACAAAGGACCAAGTCATGGTGAGAGGATTCGAGAAACCAAACCACTGGTCTCTCATTGTCTTCTGTGTTAGGCTTGGTTTTATACGGTAAGCCAAATAATTCTTTAATTCTAGGTTCAACACAGGTCCTCAAGAAATAGTTATTGGTGGAAGAAGTTAAATCCCTCATAGCAAACTCATTACAGAAAGCCCATTCATTGAATAGGCATTTGTTGAGAGCCTGTTATAGGGCCAATCAAGTCTAACACCATCCTACAGTCTCTTTCTTGCAGGAATTTGTTCTTATGGGACATCTTAATATTTGCACATGTTTAACAGCAGATCCTCTGGTTACACAAACTAGAGGCCTGCAGAGACTCCCAAGAGTGCTAAGGTGAGCAGCAGCAGTAGGAAAAAGGCAATCCAAAATATAGGAAATTACAGATTTTTGGAAACATATATTTACTGATGCAATGTAAATGTAAAAGACTCCCTATACATTAATGGAGGAGGAGAAAATAACATCTTAAATTACCAGTTCTCTCCCTGGGGAGATAAGCTGCAGATGACAAGATAAAGCTATTTCAACAAGAGCTGTTCCATGCAGCGTGGGACTTACACAGTAATTGCCATGGGGCTGCAGAAGAAATCTGGCCTGGTCAGGGCAGTCCTTGTGGAGATAAAGGACCTTGAACTGTTATGCTTTGGGCAAGTACAAATAAGAGGGAACACATTCCAGAGAAGTGGGGTGGTATGAACAGAGACTTGGAAAAAGTCAGATGCATGTTTGGCGACAGTGAGGAACAGTTTGGTTGGAGCAGAGTTCATCAACAGGAATAAATAAGTGGGGGTGGAGGACAGGCTGAAAAACATTAGAATACTGGGTAGGTGTGGACTTTATCTACAGGCCAGGGACATTCAAATGTTGATTATATACCTCCATCAGTAAACACAGTTTTGGTCTCTGCTCCCCCCAAATTTAGTAATTATGTATTTGTGCTACTGTATTATCACTATACACACACTAAACAGACACAAAACCATTTTGCAATGGTGAGATAGAGATTCTAGTATTTTCTTCCTATATCTCAGAAACTGATGGGTTAGGCCAGAGGGAGGAGGGGAGCCTCCACCAGGGAGGGAGGCAATAGTGGAGCTTGTGGAAGACCAGGAGAGTGGACGTCAGGAATTTGAGGCCCAAGAGACAGAGAAGAGAAGGGAAAGATCAGGCAACACATTCTGCAAGGAGAAAATGCAAAAGAAAGGACGAATGTTTTAGGAAAAAAAAAAATTTTAATGTATTCGGAAAATGAAGAGGCTGTAAGGGTAAATGTAAAGAGGAAAGGAGAACACATGGTGGGGGCGGGGGGGGGAATGTGTCAGGGAGACCTGTTTTGAAAGGTCACTGTTGTGCCCGGAAGAGCACTCAGCTCCCAGCAGTGGGACAGGAAGAGATGATGGCAGGACAACCTCCCAGAGTCTGACGAGAGTTATTAAAAACATTAGCTAACTTCTTTTTTCTTTAATTAGGGAGGAAAATTTAGAAGGAAAAGAAGAAAGTTACATATGTTAAATTTCATTGGTACTCTATTAGCTGGGATTTTTGAAAAGGGAGTTACTGTAATCAAAATTATTATCAGGCAGCTTTCCCCAGGGAGAGTCCAGCATTTTTCTCTAATTCCTGGCCAAGTGGAGAAGGGTTTAACTGGCGCCATTAATGGGGCTGTCCGGCAGAAGTCTGGAGGAAGCGCACTTACCCTAATGAGAGTTGCAGGAAAAACTGAGTGAGTGGCATGGATGAGAGCAAAGGAAAGGAAAATGCTTCAAATTGCCATCCTGTAGTAACAGACTTAAATGTGAAGATATGGGCAGAGAGGAAGGTCTATCTAGAAAAGGAGCTCTTTCATCAGCGTTCTGTGGAAACCCTGAATCAGCTCAGGCTCACAACCTGTGCCTTCAGTGGTCTGACTTATATTCAACTTCCCCCCATTATGGGGATATGCACCAGCTCCCTTAATTTCTTGTGGTGAGGTAGCTACTTACTTTTGCCCATCCCCTTTCTAATCAGCAACCTACTTTTGTAAGACTTTGTAAGCTAGAAGGCTATTTGAGGGCCTAAAATAAAATTAACTGGTGCTTTCAAAGATCCAGCCCCAATCCAAATGCCCAAAAATGACTGGATCAAGAAGATGTGGTATATATACACAATGGAATACTATTCAACAATCAAAAAAGATAAACTCATGCCATTCTCAGTCACATGGATGGAGCTGGAAGGGATTATGCTCAATGAAATAAGCCAGAAAGGAAAAGAAAAATACTGGATGGTTTCACTTATAGGAGGAATATAGGGGAAACAAATAAGGGATAAGGAAAATAATAATAATAAATAAATAAACAAAATTAGCAGGCAACTATAAATCAGAGACATTCTGCAGGGGAGGGGGAGGAACAGGGATCAAAACAGGGGAGGGAAGAGCACAAAGGACCATGGTGATGGTGCACGGGTGAACTGGTGGTGGGAATTCTATGGGGACTACACCTGAGAGGAGAAAGCAAACATTGTACAAAAATGAACGATGATGTAAAATATATATATAGGGCCTCCCCTGGTGGCTCAGCGGTTGAGCGCTGGGCTGCGAAGCTGCCCGCAGTCTCTGCAGCGCAGGTTCGGTCCCCGGCCACCGGCAAGGGCCCCACATGGCACGCAGACCTCTCCTGCCATGCCCGCTGCTCCCCCAGCAGTGTGCTTCAGTCCTTCTGCCTGTTCTGCTCCCCACTCTGGCTCTGGTGAATTCTCTCACCCTCCCGTGCTTCTGACTGTACCCAGTGCTTGTATAAATAAATAAATAAATCTTTAAAAAAACTCATTAAAATATATATATATAAATTAATTAATTAAAAAAATTCAATCCAAGTTCCATGTCTCAGCAGCAAAGTTAGCTTTAGGACTACCCGACACACATCAATTACCATCCAACTACCATGTCCCTATATTATAGGTCAGTTGTCTAAACTTACCGGGAGGTTTTTTTGTCTTAAGCACTTTTTTTTTAAGATTTATTTTTATTTATTTATACACACAAACTGGGGTGATGGCCAGAGATGCATGAGAGGATTCATCAGAGACAGAGTAGGGAACAGAATAGGCAGATCAACTGAAATACACTGCTGATGGGAGTAGCAGGCGAGTCAGGAGAGGTCTGCTATGCCGGGTCAACTCCCTGGCTGGGGATTGAGCTTAGGCTGCAGTGGCTGCTGATAGCTTGATAGCACTAAGACTTTAACCCCTGCGCCACCAGGGAGGCCCTGTTACTTTTCATCAATGTCAACCCCAAAAGAAAGGATGGCTTTAAGGAAAGGAATTTTTTCCTTAAAACTTTTAAGGAAAAGTTAATTGCTCATGCCATTCACAAACAAAGCCAAAAAGGAATTTGGGGCACAGCTTTTAGCAACCATCACAAGCTGGACACAATCCTACAGGAGGAATGAGAACAGGCACGAAGGAGAGCATGGCAGGTAGATACCAGGCCCTGGGAGCTGCACAGAGGTGAGACACATGCAGAACTGCCTCCTATACAACCCACTTACCAGCTTGCTTTTGACCAACTGTTCTATTGCACTGACAAGGTCTGCAGCAGTAGGTACATCGGAGGGAGCCTGCCGGGCTGCTAGCAAAGAGGAGGACTGGAAGACATTGAGCAGCAAAGGAAAAGCAGATTAGCGAGGAATGAGGAAAAGCAGTTAGGATATAAAACAGCAAGTCCAAAGCTCAAGGTAGCAAGGGAAGCAAAGCTCTATGAGATGACAGAGGGAGATAGGGGGTAGTGCAGGTATGGCACAGCCTGCTTGACCCTTTATTGGGAACTCTGGCCAGCAGTGATGGGACTAGGCTCCTTTAGGCCGGCCTCCTACAGAGCTGAGGGGAGGGTCACTGAGTTCCCAGGAGGTCAACAGGTATGGGCTCCACTCACTGTCAACAATGGAGGGGGAGAAGTGCAGACAGGCCTTTGGTCACTGTCCAGTGTCCAGGGCTGCCCAATGCCATCCCTGCTTGAAGAGTCAATAAACCTGGTCTCAGTGTGTCCAAATAAGAGAAAGTATCTTTGCTTCACTTAGATGTAGATTTTAACTATAGCTAATCACTATGAGTCAAGCAAAAATGCTAGGGGCAGGACACTTAGAGACCAGGACACACACACACACACACACACACACACACACACACACACACACACACACGAGTCCTGTTCATAGTGAAAGACCTGTGCCTCTTCCCCATGATCCGTGGGGCTGTTTGGTCAATGGTTGGGGACTCCTGCTCACTAAGGGACAGTGTTATTTTTTTTCTTAAGAGGAAACTGGGGGAGGGGTATTGCAGTGCAGGTCATGGCCGTGGAGGGGAGCTGGTGGACCCAGAAGGCCCCTAGCCTCTTATCCAGTCTTCACTGACCAGGCTAAGGGAGGGTGTGGCACCCTTCCAGCTCCAAGCTGGCACCTCCATGTGGAGGCCTGCGTGGGCTGGCAGAGAGTGGGACACAGACATCCTTGCACCCCTGGCATAGTAAGGGCGAGGGCAAAGATGGTCCCAGGACCCAGGGCATATGCTTCTTCAGTCTTTAGCACTGAAGACTGTGAGAACAGAAAGGTGAAAGTCCTAGTTGTGCCTTGGCTTCTAGTTTGCCCCTTAAGTTGGGGGGATGCTTCTTAGGTTATTTTAGGTCTTTACTTCTGATAGGGGGTAAAAAAAATCAAATAAATGTCATTAAGAGGGCTATAGCAACACCCATTTTCTTCCCTGGGGAATGTAGGAAAAGAGCTTAATTTAAGTTTGTTTGCAGATTAAAGCAATCAAGTTTTTGATCTGGTGATTCTACCCCTGGGAATGTAGCCCAAGAATAGAAGTCTACAGAACAGCATTATCCAAAGTAGCAAAATTGGAAACAACCTAGGATATCTCAAAACAAGTTGGTCAAGCAAATTATGGTACATCAAATAAATGCAATACCCTGCAGTCATTAACAAATAAAATGAAGACTTTAGGAAATACTAAATGAAACATTAAACACATATATGTCTACTATAATTGTAAAAAGAAAACATCCATGCATAAGAACTAATTTTAGAAGGAAACATGGAGAATTAATCATACAACAGTACAATGGCTGGGCTTCAAAAAATCTTTTTACACTGTTGTAAAAATTATTTTAATAAATCCAACTCCATTTGCTAGAAGTTCTGAGGTTCACCCCACACCCAAATATTCCAGAAAAACAAACATATAATATCAAATAGCTGGGCTGAGGGGGAGTATGTGTCTAAAAAGAGACTGTTGCCATCCGCCCTATTTCTGGCTAAGGAAAGGGCTACACAAACCTCTGGAGGTAAGTCCACATTCTTAGTTAAAAATTACCCAGAAACAACATAACATCTTTTTTCCTAAAACAAGCTGTGTGTGAGGGAGTTAGTGGGGGTGGGTTCATGACCTTTATCTTTTGCAAGCTGGCACCTCCATGTGGAGGCCTGCCCAGGATGGCAGATAGTGGGGCACAGACGTCCTATCTCCCCACACACTGTCACTGTTGAGAGAAATTTTGCAAGGATTGGCCTCTGGGAACACAGCAGGTTGGTCCTCATTCCCATCTCCAAGTGAAGCACAGGTATTTCTGCCTCTGGGAATCCAGGATGGGCAACATGCCAGGCTTCCTGCTATTTTGATTCCCAACAGTCAGAGTCTAGGGCCATCGATATCACTTTAGGAGGGGCTGCAAGTATTTCTGTCTCATCAGTGAGTCACAGAGGAGGGCAGCGACCACATCTTAGTCATTGTGCCCCTAGAAGCTGGGCTTTTAATCTGGCACATGGGAAGACCTCAATGAATATGTGTGGGTCAATGATGTAAATGCAAGTGGAGAGAATTAAAACAAGAACTGAGACTTCACTAGAGACACTGAAGCATCTGCAAACAGTACTTTCTGAATTGCATCCTAGGTGGTATAAAGGTTTGTTCCTTGCCTATGCATGCTAGACCCTCCACCTCTGACAAAGCTGCCCCATCATGAGGCAAGCACTAGAAAGGAGGCATAGCTAAGCCACCAGCACTACCACCAAACACCACTCTGAGAATCAAATGCAAATACAATCAAAAACTGAAACCACCACTTCAAATCCCAGAGTCCAACAGGACAGCGAAACTAAAAGAAGACAAGAAAAACACAATTAACTGAAAGCTTGACTTATTAGGCAAGATCAAGCACATGATCAAAATAGCCTCAGATGGGGACCTGGAACTACATCCACCCGGATTCTCTGCTCTAGAACCATCAGAGGGTCACCCTGAAACTAGAGATCTGATGGCCACCCACACTTCAGCCACGACTGAGCCTCTGCCTGCCAGTAAGTCAGGAAATTTTGCAAAACAAAAAACTTGGGCAACCTGGAATATTAGGTTTTCTCACATTTGACAGTAACCTCCCTTTCACAGCTTCTCCATCCTTCATATTGTGTTTGCAGAATTTTAACAGCACTGGACTTGACTGGAAGTTACTATGATTTGGGCTTCAGTATTGAGACTAGGGGAAACAATCCACTAAAACATAAGTCATATAGCCAGGTACAACAGAATGATCATGACCTGGAACCACCTTAGACTCCTTTTTGAGCCACCTTAGGTTCCTTTTTGAGACAGTTTCTTTTGAGATCTCTGCTTCCAAAGACAGAGCCAATACCTTTCATCAACATGATGCAATACCAAGCAGATTCTCACTCTGAGAATTCTACACACACCACTATGTTGCCTAGAATGAAGTCAGAATTCCAGGGTTGGTGGAGGGGACCCCTGCCAAATACTGATGGAATAAACATCACCATGGATTCATGTGGTGTGAGACACAACAAAGGAGAGCGAACATTATTATCCCCATCCCACACAAACAATGAAATCACATGGATGACACACTACTCTTCAAAGTGAGAAAGCAAAGAAGTTCTACCATCTCGTCCTGCGTGGGGTCATTGTCAAAGATCTTCATAGGGGGAGGGAGGGGTGTATGCGACTCTTCATCTGGTTCATCTTCACCCCAACCTTTCTTGCTCTTCTAGAACAAAAGAACAGCATTAGTCACTGTTTCATGTAAAGATGCCATTAGTTCAAGTCTTAGAATTTTTGAAAAGCAACATGTAAGATACCATTCTGCCTCAACACACCCCTAGTTTTTCAGTCTTATAGTCCTCTGTGGGATGGAGGAGGACACTTGCTTATCTGAAAGAACAGTGAAGAGAGAATGGAGGAAAACACACACACACACACAGAAGGAGAAGAGGGAGAGAGACAGACAGACAGACAATCTCACCAATGAGTCAGAAAAAGATGAAGTTGCGTGATCAGAGAGTGCCTAACAAATTTTTTAAAAAATATTAAACCACAATCTGAATACCACCAGGCTCTACTGCCATGTTTAGAGGGAGAAATGACAGACAGCATAAAATTACAAAGAGTCTGGTTACACATTCAGAAGAATTTCTTAGCCACAGCAGTGAGAAGAGTAGGTTAGTTTGCCAGATAAAACAGCTATCTCATTCCCCCAAACAAAACAGTCATACGATATTTTGATTACAGAATCTCAGCTCTGGAAGGGACTTCAGAGGGGTCCAGTCTGGCCTTAGCTAACACAGGGTAACACTAACACAGCTAACTAACACAGTTAGCTAACACAGCTAACTCTGACTCTTATGTGAGGTCACATGGACTCTGAAATCCTTCCAGTAGGGGTGTTCATTTGTTTTCACGAAGGCTCATTTCATCCCTAGTTGACAGCCACCGAAGTTCCTCTGAGCTGAAACCTTGCCTACTATAAACCTTCAGCTCTCCCTGGAGCAACCTGCAGTTGGATGCTCACTTTTAGATGTGGCAACTGCTTAAGAGACTTGGCAACAGCTATTATGTCCTAGTATAGTCTTCAGTTTTCTAAGTGAAACTCTCTCCATTCTCTTATTCCTATTCTAAACATGCCTAGCAGGTTTTGAGGTCACCCTTAGTCGAGGCAGGGGGCTAGGTGATTGCTGGCTCCCCTCAGGGCCAGGCTCCTTTCTCCACATCTAGCAAAATGGCATCTGTTGGAAATTCTAAATGGTAGTCAGTTTCTGAACTGGTCACAAACCAAACTGGCAAGTCTGGAGAATAGAAAAACTCAGATCATGGAGGCCCAAGAAGACAAACCTCTGGGGACTAGAGAAGCCTGGCGAGTTGACCACACCCGTGGGAGGATGCATGTCAGTAGTCCCTGCCTGCTGGAGGTTCCAGGGCCTGGTGTAATTACCTCATCAGCGCTGTCTCCCTGGGGAGTTGTCTCATCCCCAGGTTTGGGAGATCCCAGATCGAAGCTCTTCCGGCCATCACGTACTTTCTTCTGTTTTTTGATGTTTCCATCTGCTTTCCCACTGTTGAGCCGGCGTACTGGACTTGTCAGCCACTTCTTAAGGGTGTTGGTGGAACGCTTGGGCCCAGGGGAGCTGTGGATGGAGTTCAGGGAGGGCTGAGCCTGCAGGTTGGCCACTGACTCAGACTTGCCTCCATTTTCATTGGAGGAATGAGAGTATGAATCTGAGGAAAAAAGAAAAGACAGAAGTGGCGGGTCAATGGCAGTTAAGGCAGGCTGCCAGCCCAGGAGTAAAACAGCTCCAGCCTCAGAAAGCTGGGACACAAGGTAGAATGTCAAGGCCTGCTACAAACCACAGTTGAGGAAATCCTTTTTAGAACAGCAGTAACAGCACTTGATTCCTAACATGCAAGGCACTGTTCTGGGTGATATATATATGGGAGTAGACAAGATAAAGACTCCTGCCTTCAGGGAAAAACGATCTAGAGCCCAAGCAAGAATTGCCCACCATAATAATGTTATGGAGCACCTATTAGATAGTGTATTGTAAAGACATATAAGCACAGGTATTATTTTTATAGACCTCTTAACTAGCTATGCACACATACACACACAGACACGGAGGCAATGAGAATGAAAGAATAAGACAGAGCAGTTAAAGATCATTTCACAAAGCAGTGTGTGATTAATTGCCAAAGGTCTGGTAAGGACTGTAGATGATAAGTAAGTGGAGTTCAGAGGACGGTCAGATCTGTGTAAGAGGGACTGAAAAGGTTTCACAGAGGAGATATGTCTGAGTAGAAGGAATTCCAAAAGGGGAGATAGCAAGAACAAAAGCACAAAGGCAGGCAAATTGAAAACAAAGTTAACACAGCCATAGTACATCCTTTGAATGAAATACAGATTAATGGAGGAGAAACTGGTTAGAAACATTAGTGAGGACATTTAATAATATCCTAGAGGTAGAGGAATATGAACTTTATTGGGAAATGTCATGATAAAAAGAGCTGTTTGTTTGCTTTGAATGAGTCTGTGCAAGGCACAGCCCTGGGAAGGAGGGGTTAGAACTCAGAAGGCCACCCTAGGCGCGCACAGGGAGTTCAAAGGCTTGTCCGTGAAGCATTTCAAAGCAAGAAGCAGTACCGTTAGTACCTGGACAACAAATCAAAGGCGAGTTGTCTCTATATGTTGCTTCCTCTGCTTGCCCACAAGGTCTTGGGAGAATACCCGAGCAACTTTACCTTGACTCACTGGGCCCCTCACCTCAGTGCCAGTTTGTATACTGATATTTAAACCAAACACACCACTACATGTTTAAACAAATAATCACAGTAACTTTCTATACCTGTTCGTCTTAACAAGGGAATCACCTTTTCCTATAATGACTTCATCCTAGACCTAGACAATGGGTCTCATCTGACCTGGGAGGCCCTCTGGCCTAGATACAGCCAATAGGGAAGAAACAAAATCTGAATAAGGGGGATGAATGCTCTTGACAACAGAGAACCGCCTTCAGTTTTTACTACTGGCTTATCTTGAGGGCACTAAGGTCAGGCTCTTGACCCTGTGGGGACTTTCTCAGCTTTTGCTAGTTTGTGCATATTTGGAAAAAACAGCAGAATATCTGCATCTAGAAGCACAAACATTGAGCTCCTAAAGTCCTTTGTTATGATGAATAACTTACAGGGTTGCTCTGCTGGGGCAGCGGTGGGGGGGGGGGGATGGGGGGGGGGGGTAATATTTGGGGATTGACCGACTGGGTTGGCGTCCCTTTAAGAACAAAGTTGTAATCTTATCTCAGAAAATTCCTTGCTGGCTGTGGTCTTAGGTATGTTGACATTATTTCTGAAGTGTTTGGTATGGGTCAAACTCCAGTCCTTACAAGCCTTCGTGATAAATATCTCCCCAGCTCTGGTAGTGGAAACAGGGCCTTTCTTATCTTTCTGCTGATAAGCTACAGAAGCTTTTCATTTACTAGCCCCTTGTGATGCCACAGCAAGCCTTTTATTAAATTCAAGCCTCAAAACTTAGATTTATCCACATGTCATGTCAGCAGAACTAGAGGCCTCGTCTAGAGAACTAGACACATTAACTGTGTCTTGTGTTACCAGAGAAGACATGTCTAACCAAGTTTCTGTTCCATGGAAAAATCACAGTCTGGCTTTAAGATACACAAATATGAATTTTGACCCACCATTTCTCTTCTCTCATTGACATCTAGTTCTGCTTTGGTGCATTCTGTACAAATTAATGGCAAGAGTATAAATTACAGAGTACAAATTAAAAATCAAGAGTGTGTTGTTTCAAGTTTACTGTGTGTAAACAACTGGGGTCTTTCAAGCATGCCCACATAAAAGAGAATTGAAGAGTTGGCAGTATTCTATAATTCATCATCTAGTTAGTATCCTGTATTGAGACAGGAACAACTGAGACTAAATTACTTTGAATGCATGGTTATAAAGGAATGTGGCATCATTTAGTTTAGAAAATTTGTACTTGCAAAGAATGATTGATATGTTATGCACATCCTATTTTTGGAAGATGGTTGCAATGAATGGTTTGAGAATTTATTCTTGTATCTTTCCAGGCATAACAAGTACAACAATAATACCATTATTTCATCAAATCTTTCCAAGTTGAAGTAGGTACTCTATGCAATGATTTCTGTCTTAGGAAACAGGAAATTGGAATGTTTCAGAAAACTAAGATCATATTTGGTAAGTGGCAGACAAGCAAGACTTAATCTCAAATCTGACTTGGGTCTCCCCGGTGACGCAGCGGTTGAACACTGGGTTGCGAAGCTGCCCGCAGCCTCTGCAGCACCAGTTTGATCCCCGGCTGCTCCCCGGCCAATGGAGGAGGGTCCCACATGGCGTGCAGACCTCTCCTGCCGCCCGCTGCTCCCCTCAGCAGTGTACTTCGTCAGTCTGCCTGTTCTGCTCCCTGCTCTGGCTCTGGTGAATTCTCTCACCCTCCCGCGCTTCTGACTATACCCAGTGCTTGTATAAATAAATAAATAAATAAATAAATAAATAAATAAATCAATCTTAAAAAAAAAAAAATCTGACTCTACTGCACATACAATTAATCTCATTCCTACATCTGTGTTCACTCCATGTATTCCTTTAGCCTCTATATTAATTGAAAAAAGGAGCATCAAAATATACATTTATACATAATTGATATGTTATAAAATTCCAATGCTAAAATTAGAGAACACAATGGAGATTTCAATAAGGGAAATTCACTGTCACAAGTTAGTCACAAAAGTAGGACCAGAATCCCAACATCTCTACATCAAGAGACTCAGGGCTCTGAGTCAAGGCATAGAAACTGCCTATGGGTTGATATCTAGGCAAACAAATCCCTGGAAAGACATATATGTCACTGAAGCTAAAAATTCCTTGGATAATTTAGTATGTATTACTTGTTTATAAGCAAGAACAAATTATATGGTGAGACTGATTTTTAGTATGAAATATTAAATACAGAAAAAAATCCATGTACCCACTACCTAGATATAATAAATGTAAATATTGTTGTCATATTTGCTTCAGTTTTTTTTAAAAAAGAAATAAATATTCTAAATATAGATGAAGGCTTCTTACTTTTTCATCCATTTGCAAGACTATTTCTTACTTTCCCAAGAGTTAAATTCTTGTCTGAAGTTAGTATGCATTTTCCCATCCCATGCATTTACTTTGTAAGCAAAAATAGTATTACTTTGTGTTTTATATCTCTTATCAACAACAACTATCAGAATACAGGTATTATTTTGCAACTTGTTCATTTATTCAAGGTTATTTGAGATTTATCCATGTTCATACATGAAATCTACTTCATTTGTTTTAATCCTTGAGTGAAGTTTATAATACATTTTCCTAATGACAGGAATTTAGGTTGTTATACACACACACACCCACATACACACGCATACACACACAGAGTCATAAGCAATCATGTGCAAGTTTCTGCATGCCTGTGAGAATCCTTTAGGAGAGTGCTCCTGAACTACTTTTGGTAAAGGACGTATTTTTCTTATCTCCACTCTGTTTTGAACCAATACTGTTATAAAACACAGTCACACTTTTGGATGTTGCAGAAATATCAAATTGCTATAAAAGCTTTAAGTGCTTGTTTTCATTTTCTGTACTTAGCTTACTGTGGACTGGAAACTAATCCACACACCTTTGGCACCTGCAGATTACACAGTGAGTAGCATTATGCTCAACTCTAAAATCTTTGTGCATCTAAAGCATATATCTCAAGGTAGAACTTCTGCGTTGTAGGAAATACACATTACCAACTTCAGAGGGTCAATTGCTCTCTGACTCCCACTAGGCATGTGCAAAAGTTCTCATCTTCTTGAACTCTCTTTGAAGTTTAATTCTGTAAATTAGTATATAATGTTCCTTTGGAAAAATTAAATTTGTCTTCTTTAAACAAAAATATGTATTCCAAGGAAATAAACTGAGATGAAAACAGAACGTATAGAGAAGATCAAGTGAAAAGATAAAAACCAGTGACTCTCAATCAACAGGACATGCATCCTACAGTTGGTACCTCAGTTACAAAATGGAAAAATCGGAAACTTAGCAGGGAAATTCATGAAGCTGACATTCCAACTTCACAGACTGAGCGGCACAAACTTACTGATGGCTCTCATGGGAACATACAAATACATACAAATGAAATCAAGAGAATCTAAATAAATAAGCCAACAAGAAACAAACTCTTATTCATGGCCAGATTTTCATATTATTTTTCATCCTCACTTCTTCAATTCCCAAGAAACCACCCATCACCACTTCCTTAATACTCAAAAAAAAAAAAAAATACTGTATGGTCACAGAATACATTCCAAAGATTAACCAACAATTACTGACACCAACACACTCATCTCTTAATGAATTTTGTTGAAGTTGATTGAAAGAGAAACTGTTGGTACAATTTTCCTGCCTTTCATATAATCCAAGAGCAACCTAGTAGTGCCTAATCATTGGATCGCAACAAAGAGAATACCTGGGTTTGGGTCCTGCTCAGTTGCTATCTAGCCAGCCAGTACCACACAGACACTTACGTCCCTCGATTTTTTCATCTACAAAATGAACAGATTATATAGGATGCATTCAAAGCCCAGCTCTATCAATGGCTAGCTATGTGACTCTGGGCCAATTATTTAATGTCTCTGTATTTCAGTTTTCTCTCTAGTAAATAAAAATAA